AACCCTAACCCTAACCCTAACCCTAACCCTAACCCTAACCCTAACCCTAACCCTAACCCTAACCCTAACCCTAACCCTAACCCTAACCCTAACCCATGCAATCCAGCTACAGTCTCTCTTCATCTTCAGCTCCTCAATCTCCCCTTCATCATACGCAATTCGTGAACATAGATCAGGACTAGGCCAGGCGCAGCTCAGACAGTGGCTCTAATGCCGCCACCAGCGTCAAGCACTCTTACCCAGCCAGTGCTTCAAGTCCCAGTGATGATTGAGGGTCCCAGGGACAGCCTCAAGGACAGCCTCAAAGACAAGCAATCAGCAACACAGTCATCCCTAGCTCTAAGGATGACTCGCGACTCGAGCCAAGTATCACCAAGGCCTGCGCCACCCAGATTGCCATCTTTTTCGTCATCATCGGCTTTGCCGTCTAGCAGTTCATCGTCGCCCCATCCCTAGTCGTCCCAGTCAGCCCACAGAACACAATCGACAACGCCCTGTCCAACTTTCTCCACAAGTTCCGCCTGCTTATCAACTACACAGCCAGCACCAGCCGCGTCTTTGAGCGCAAGGCAAGCTTCCTCCGCAGCAACCTTGTGAGCATCGACATCAAACACCCCAGAGCCAAAGCCCTCCTCCAAATTGAGGACCTGTGGGACGTCCCTGCTGCAGACGCGGCTATTGTCAAGCCACTCAAGGCAGAGCAGGTGAGGCAGATGCATTTCGAGAATGCCAACCACTAGCGCCCAAGCCGTGAGGCCATCAACCCTCCAGAATGCGCCCAGATTGTGTCTTCAATTCCCAAGGAGGCCCTTCCAGCATGGATCAGGACTGAGCTAGACAAGAGCTGTCATCCAACCAACAAGACAAAAGAATAGGGCATCCCAGGCCTTCACATTGCCCGCCAACGCTTCTACCAGGACCCCAAGAACAAAAAGTCGTACCTGCTAGCCAGACCCTTCGAACAGCTCGGCGACCGCATCATACACAGCGCGTGGAAGATCCAGAACGTGGTGTACAAAATATCGATTCCCAGAAAACTGTCCAACCTCTCCAACAAGGTCAACGACAATCTGTACCCAGCCCCAAGCCCACCCACTTAGTCCCCCTTCTGGCCCAGCAGCAACTCCACCAGCAACACAACCCTCGTCCTGCGGCCCCGCTACACAGCCTCCTCCCCTCCTCCCCAGACCCGCGCCTCGACGCCAGCATAGAGCTCATCCAGTCGATGATCGCGACGCACACCCTAGTCGCGCGATGCACCGCCAAGGTCAAGCGATCACTAGACATAGCCGAAGCCGCGGTCGACACCTTCCTTAGCCGCATAGAGCAGGGACTCCACCGTGCCGTGGCAACGATAGTCTCGCGCCACTGCCCCGCCTTGGATCAGCAGCCCAAGCTCCAGGAGAGGATCTGCAGCATCACGCGAGGCCTGCTGCGCAAGGCAGAGGACCTGCTGCTCAGGCATGGCAGCAGGTATGTGGACCTGGGAGAGCAACCGCCCGGGGCAACTGCATCGGCGTTTCCTTCGTCGTCAGCCGCCGTTGAAGGTAGGCAGGGCTTTCTGTCCTGGCTGTTCGGCACCAAGCAGGGACGCCGTGAGGATGGCCAGGCCAACAGGGGCAACACCACGCCCTTCTACCTCGACCAGCACTCGTGCAGCCACCTCCACGAATCATCCTTCAACCCGCCGCGCAACCTACGCTGGGACTACCGAGAACCCAAGTCCTCAGGCCCAGTCCCACTCGCACCCCTGATCCTGATCAGGCCGGTATACTCCCCCTTCCCAGACGACGACCCCAGATCCCACCACCACCCCTTCCCCTTCTCCCACCCCGCCCTCCTAAACACCCACTGCACAAACCTCATCCTCCCAACCCTAACCTCCCCCTCCGCCGCCGCCACACACCACCCCCCCTGCAACGTCGCAGCAGCCCTACACACCCACCGCAAAGCCCTCTCCTCCATAGCCCTCTCCATCGCCCAGGCCTGCCTAACCAGCCGGCGGATCAACCACCTGCGCGCATACGGCAACGAGATGCGCGCGCAGGCGGACAGGATGGGATACACTCTAGCGCGCGTCGTTGCTAGGTAGGGGGTGCGGTATGGGGCGCGGAGGCGGGTGGAGTGGGTTGATGATTTGTTGGAGGGGGCGGTTTGGAGGTGGGAGTGGGTTGGAGGGGAGGATGGAGGGGAGGAGGGGGAGGGGGAGGAGGAGGCAGCAAGGCCTTCTGAGGTGGGGATTAGGGAGGTTGCTAGGGGGGTAGGGGAGGGTAGTGTTGCTTAGCTTTGGAGCTAGGAGGTTGGTAGGGGGTGTTGGGGGGATTTGGGATACCAGGGTAGCAATGTTGATAAGGGGGGCAGGGACAAGCATAGGTGTTGGTGGGACTAGGCTTAGCAGGAGGAGCGTAGGTTGGTTGCTAATACGTGGAGGGCGCATGAGAGATTGTCTAGGAAGAAGGAGTAAGTGGATATGGATAGAGTTGGTAGCTTGAGGTGTTCAAGCTAGCTAGTTGCGTCGTTTCTTTAGGGTTTATTTCTCTCTCTCTCTTTCTCTCTGTGTGTGTATGTGTCTATTTGGTCTAGGCTCGATAAAAACCAAGGTGCAAATTGTTAATTACTTGTTTGGAGGCAACTAGATCATCGACGTTTGCTTATTTGCTGGCACTTACATGCATTTGGCAACTTGACTGTATTTTCCTGCATTGTGCAAGCCTCTTAATATTGTCACGGTGATTGGCTTTACATTTGTGCAGGATCATGAAAAACACCCTAATCAAGAACCTTGTCACAAATCTAGAGCAGTCTTAAATGGTTGGAATTCCAAACACCTCAACTTCATATCCGCTTGGCTGCTTCGCCCTTGGCGTCAAACGGGAATTTTTGAGTACAGTGTGCATCGGCTCTTGGATCTGCACCGCCAGGATAGAGCTCTTGAGAGACTCATACCTACCTTACGTGTCAAAGAGCAGGGTCAGTTTGTCTTATCGTACACGGCTTGTCCTAGCAAATTAATTTCTACGTTTTGTTAATATTCATGTCTCTCATTTTTCTTCGGGAACCTCTAGGTCTTTTGTTAGCAATAAAAATTTCTCTATTGTTAAGAAACACCTTTGTACCTCGCCCCTTTTTTTATCAACAGCAACTGAGCCAAGGAGCACCAGGTCTGTGATGCTGCTCTAGGCGAAGGACACAGTGTCTCACCTATGCCTCGACGTCTACCTACCAGCAAGTCAAGCCTGATAGATTAGATCCCCCGATCGTCTAGGCATTGCTCCTTGCACCAGACGGCAGTAGCCATAGTCAGCTGTCTCGTCTTATCATCCCAGGTCGATTGGTCACAGCCGCAACGTCTCAAGATCCAACAAGCCACATGCCAATACCGCCTTGCACATGCCTCGACAAGAACTTAATCGTGCAGCCCTTTCGGGTTTCTCAGCCCAGACATCTATGATCAAGATAGTGCACTTGGACAAGGGGTACCAAGATTCCAGGTCAGAGAACTCACCCCATAATAGTATCCCTTACTTATTCACAGCAAGGATGTTATCAGGGAGGCAGGTATTGAGTTTATCAGGGCTAAGTTATAGTCACTTCCTGGGGAGACCTTAGCTCTCTCTCAAAGAGCCAGACAGCCGTCACTCTTAGTATACCGCAGCCAGAGCCAGGACCAAGCCAGAACAAAGGTCTCTAGAACAACTCAAGTCTACAGTTCCGCCCGACACAAGGCTAACTAGTTATCCGCGAATAGCATCTCGTGGAAGAAAGCAAGAGAGAAAGGAGATAGCAGCAACAATAGCGACAACAAGCCACGACAGGACAGCTCCTTCTTCCACCATTGCTGCCAACGCTTGCGAAATGGCGTCTAGACCAACTCAAGGCTAAACCGGACCAAGATGACCACACCTTCGCAAGGACAGGGTATTGGCCGGCCAGTACGGCGGCGGGGCTAAGGCATTAGCGTCTTCACTGCAACGAGAAGTTCCGCCACTCGCCAGCGTACCGCAGCAGGAGCTCTCGCACGACTTCTATCTAGCATTCCATAACCGCAAGCACAGCTCTAGTAGCTGCCCCGGAATAAGAGATATATCAGAGGTTAACAACTATCACAACCTTGCTTATAATTAGTTATGTATAAAACCCCTTATTTTACCAAATCCACCTCCTGATCCTCCTATTGCTTACGTCCTAACAGGTAGTGATCAACCCTCTACAAGCTGCCACGCCCAGTTCGGCGCACGCGCGCCAGACACTCGCATACAACACCATCCTCGCCAACTCGCGCTTCTCCGACAACGACCTGCAGAAGGTGCCCAAGCAAGACTGCCCTCACCGTCAGCGTCCAGACCATCTTGGAGGCGAGGGAGGTGGTCGCCCTCATCGTCAGCCCCAGTGCATCGAGTAGTTGCCGTCGCTACTTTGCCGCCAAACACTACATGCGTCAGGCAGGGTGCGCATGGTGAGGGCCTCGATGCTGACAGAGAGCGCCAGTTGCACGGCACTTCCCACAGAAGGGGTAGGGGTGGCTGCATGCTATTGTATATCTATCGCATGCAGTGCATATCGTTGTTAGCTCTTGGCATAGATAAGCAGGACAACGCCGTGGTATACATAGCCAATGTACAACCCTCTCTCTTCAAAGTCTCCCCCCCTGCTTAAGGCTATTGTTTTAGACTGAAAAGTAGCATTCTGCTAGCTTCCTTTAAGAACCACCTCAAAAGCATGTTCAGCCTCGAGTTTGTCCTAATAATCTTGCTTTGGACATTACTAGTGGCAGGTAAACGTTTGGGTTAGTCGCATGGCTAATTCAGACAGAACCCAGGATGCTTAGTTCTGTGTAGTCTCATCGTTATTTATGGTCCTTCGAAGCTCAAGCATGCATGGAAGGCATAGAAGGCACCAGCTAGAGCAATGGCTTGACTAGCCGCCCTTACACACCTACAGAACTCCTAGCCTCGACAGTGTCTCTCTCACCAAGTATCCTCAGCACCTATATTGTGTCAATCTTCTCCACTAATTACCTTTGGTGGCTATTGCTAATGGACAGACGCTAGGGGATGCAAAGAAGATCAACAAGAGCTTGGGTGCTCTGGGATAGCCCTAAAGGAAAGCAGGGACTGTAGGCTTAGACTTAGAGGAACCTTAGGATCGTTCTTAGGCCTTAACTAGTCTTTTCACAAGACATTCAACGCCCTCCTTCTCGACAAGTTTAGCGTCTAGCACATCAGAATGCTTGACGCCGCCTATGACAGCATCGATCTCCTTTAGGGTCAATTTCCTGGTTAGCCTTTAGGTCCATGAGCACGTTGCAGTACCTCCTTTCTCCCTCTTTGACGCAGCCTTGAATTCCTTTACAAGTAAGTGTTCACAGGCCTAGACAGGCGGATGACGTTTCACTTTGCATATTCAGCAGCGTTAGGGGTTAGAACAATCATTTACTAGCAAGCTCCTAGTGCAGACAGGGAGAATTACAGGCGACTTGGATACCTAAGGAATGTCCTAGAAGGCGTCGTCAGCGTCTACAACACAGCCTTGGCTACCAAGTAGCCACACGCATACGTCGTATTAGTTTAGTCGAGAAATTAAGATTGCCACTCCTAGTAACTAGCAACTCAATGTCCACTCTTCTCATCCCATCCCGCAGGATGTGATGTTGTCTATCGTTTCTGTCTTGAAATCATCGCCCCGCCGGCAGTCCCAGGCTGCACCGCAACGTCCACGCTGTCATAGCAAATAGCAATACCTTTATCCAGCTCTATATTAAGCTACCTGTCTCAATGTCCAACCATGTACTGTCTTGCTAACGTGGTCGTGGGCAGCCGACACCTACCCCAGACGACGCCTACGCCAGCCATCACCCCAGAGAAGCAACGGTTTGAGAGCTAGCCAACAGTCGAGAGCCCTATGCAACCATGGCTAGACCTATCATTTATTGACCATCTATCCCCAACCAAGCCAAAAAACGCCGAGAAAGATTGTTACGGTGGAAAGCCAAGGTCATGACATATCCGAATAAAGTAAAAGGTCTCGCCCATAGATTCCGACAGTGGAATCTGTTACCCAGCCACAAGGATCGCAAGGCGGCGGCGTTGATTTCCTGTCGCCAATCAACACAGGAAGCCTAGGGTTGTTCATTGGTGCTTGGCGCCAACGCTAATGGTTCTAGCAACTTGTTCAGCAATACTGGCAACAATTAAACGCAGCTAGAAACACGACAACCATAACAAGCTGCATAGCATGATATCCAACATGATGGGACAAATATGTAAATTTATGTAAAACTACTTTTTTTTTTTCTAAAGCACAAGTACTTGATTTAAGCGCAAGCACTTGAGCAGCCCCTTGCCTTCAGCACTGCCATGTAGCCTTGAGAATCTTGCCACAATAAGGGTAATTTAAACCTAGATGCAGGAATACGGCAGCCTCTAAAACCCCCAGATAATGCCAAAATTCGCTGCAGTTGAGCCTCCTTTCCCCGCAAGATAAGGCTAGTCCTGCAGAGCCTTGCTCATCGCCATGCTTCCTGTTGCTACGTATGCAGGGTGCCAAGCCCCTCTGCTCCTGGATAATCCTTACAAGTAAGTCAGCCTACTTCAACGCCACCAGTCCAGACCCAACGGATATCAGATATCACACAACTCAACCGGCCGCCTCAAGCGCCATCTGGCAGCTCTGCCGCAACAGGTAAATCCCAACCAACATCGTCAACATGCCCCTGGAGTGCTAAACTATCCTTAACTAAAACTAAGTTGTTTTTAAATCAACTTTACTAGTTTAAACGATTTGTTATAATAGAACATATTCAGCCTTAGTATGTTAACCTAAGCTTCTCCGTCTTATATGTGTGGCACACGCAGTCCCAGAAAGGCACCGCCAGGTGCATAGCACAGGTGGGTAAGCCATCCCACCTTCGTTCCGTTGGCTGTAGTCAGCCGCCTCACCCTCGTCGTCGCGCTGATTGGCGCACCCGTCAAAGTCCAACACCTCGTTATCATCGTCGTCATTGTCATCCTTCTCATCGTCATCTTTAGGGTCAGCTGTAGATTCAGTCCTTTGCAGGGGAAAGGGATGGACTGCACTTCTCTAGCCTGCTATCGTTGCCATTCCAGGAACAGCTGCCTGCTTTCTCTTGACTAAGTTGCTCTTCTCGAACTCCTTGATGGGCTAACTGCATGCAGCTGCAAGACGTGGGCGGTACCATACTAGATCTCATTCCTAACCAACAACGCCGACAGTCGGAAAGGCCTGTCAAGTCGTCTAACGTATTGCCCTAGCAACAGTGTTGCGTCTCCGCTTGTCCTCTTCAGCAGCAAAGCAACGTGCTTCCAAGCTGGGAATCTGGCATCGTGGTGTACCAGTCGACGTCTAGCTGCCCAAGAATAGCGTCACAGACAGCCACCACAGTTGCAGCAATACCCGCAAGAGACCTAATGCCCAAATATCGCGCAGGTACCGGTTGAGATATTTTTAGAGCGGAACTGCCACGGCAATACCACCCAGTACGTATATATGCATGCCATCGACTATCAACGGCAACCAAGATGCGCAGAGCCGTACAACTAGGCAGTGCCTCCGCGTCGGGCAGGACTCCCATTGTGCTCCGCAGGTCTTCCTCTCGTCTGCGTGACGTTGAATTCGCCGGGATCCGGCAGGGCGCGCCGCCCGAGTTCGACAGCGATGTGAACCCCCAGACAGTGGAGGTCTGTCTTACTCTCCGTCACAGCTTGTGTTACCGCCACACAGTCAGTCAGCCATTCCTATCATCCACCCCGAGCCCCGCAAACGCAGAGAGACGGTTAATGATACACAAGCAAACCAGTTGGAGCTTTATGGCATGATTACATAGAGCAGATAGGTGCTGGCCTCGCCGCCGTCGCCGTGGCTGTCTGGCCTGCGGAACCAGAAGGTCCCCCACCTGCTAGCTCTCGAGCCTGCCTGCTAGCACAGCATACTATACTAAATGCTTACAAAAACCTTGCCAACTACTATGCCTAGTCTATGCCAGGATTGCTGACGGGAATGGCATAGCAGGACGCGACTAGAAACTGCGGATGATTGGGCGTGTGATGCTGGGCGATCTGCGCGGCGTCTTTCTGGTTTGAGTAGATGGCGTCTTGTTTTTGTGGCCTTGGGAGTACTGGGAATCTCGGCATGTTATTGACAGGAGGAATAGCAGGTGGCTTTGTGATGAGGGAAGGGTTATGCTATTCACTATGTCTCCCAATGTCCCCAATGTTGTCATAGACGCCTTGGTTTAGGTTCTATGGCGGTGAAGACAGTGGCGGGAGCAGGCGTCCGGTCATCCTCTTTGGGAATCCGATGAGCGGGTTTAGTCAGGACAAGGGATTGTCTGATGGCGAATTTAGCCTGTTTTGGTGGACATGGTTGACATTAGACGCGTCGTTTTATTTGTTTAGCTTGTGGAACCACAGCCATAGCTTCTGGATGCCCGTCTCGAGCACCTTGGGGCCTGGCGGGAGCTGCAAGCAGCGCTTGTAAAGCTCTAGGATACGGCAGGGCAGGAGCGGTATCGCGCCGTAACATCTGCGCAGCAAGGACAATGGCCAGCCAGAAGAAAGCTAGGAGGTCAGGATATTGCCATCCAAGTCAAGCCAAAATGTGTCAATATCCAACGTGCACGATCCCAGCATTCCGTTTTGGACAAATATGTGAAATGCCGCCATTGCAGCATCTTTCACGCTCTGCATCTTTCTAGAGCCGGATTTAGTGGCAGACGATTCGCTTGAGGCAAGCGGCAGTTCCCGCGACTTCTAGTGGTCGCTTCAAAGACGTTGAAGTTGTGGGGTTTCTCATCGAGTTGACCATATTGAACAGGCTGGAGACTCAGTAACTGAGCAGTAGTCTCGCACTCATAGCAATGGGCCATGCCCATATATGCGTCCCGTATTCAGCACATGGTGGAGACGAGAAACAGATTGCGGGACTTTAAATGCCTCCTTTGTATTCAGTTATCCTCTGTATTGTTAGATAGAGTCGCGCTTCACAGCGGCTAGCTAATCTCCACGCAGCCGAGCATAGACATGAACCTTCAGACCTAGGTGCAGTGCCCGGTGTTCAGGAAAGAGAGCTTACCCAAGCTATACGCCACAAAAGTAGAGACTAAGGCTGGCGCAGACAACGGTCAAGATTCCTGAGACTACCTATCTGATATTTTCCTTTGCCTACATCACTCCTGTCGAGATTGAGGATCCAGCGCTAGCAGTCAACGTGATACCGACAGGTCTTCAAAGTTATCACATATGCGCGGGCCCCCTGGCGTCCAACTTGTCCCTAGTCAGCTTATAGCCTGGCACGACGCCGAGCTCGGACGAAGATGATGATTCCGTGGGTTGGGCTTCAATCTCCAGCTCTAGGACAGCATACTAAACCAAAATACAGGACATA